CCCGCCCCCCCAGCATACTTTTTTTTTTTTAAACTTTCTCACATTTTACATGTCGAATAACTGCTGCAAAGGGATCTGCTCTAAGGACCGATTCGTTTGTAACGTGTCACTGGTCGAGTTTTCCCTGTCCAGTGTTGCCAAGTCGGCCAGCGTTATTGTAATATATTTATTGTAATATTTGGTTGTAATATTTTGTGGGGTGTGGACAGTTTTACTTTTGTACGCTGTTCAGTGCTGACTCTGTTTGTTGCCAAGACCTAAAACAGCTTCTGCTGTAACTCTTGCTTTATTCCTCCTGCATTGCTGGGATCCTGTGCCCTGCACTGAAGAGGCTGGGGAGTGAAGTTGAGAGAGGTGTTTAAGCTTGTGAAAAAAGAACTCCAAAAGCTCATTAGGCCCCTTTTCTCTTTATATGAGAACAGGAAGTTGGCTTACAAACCTAAGAGGGAAATGTGGAGAAAGGGAAGAGAAAATTCTTAGCTGTTGTCAAGTTACTGCAGAGGAGATGAGGGATGCTGAGTACCTCTGCAGAATCAGGCCTGTGTTTTGGTGGCTTTGAAATTCTAGAGACCTGGGGACAATGTGTTGTAAGTGACATCATGGCTTTCACAGCATTTAAATGAAATAGAAATTTAAGACAGCTTGAAATTCACTGGGATGAGGTAGGGTGCAGTTTGTCTTCCTTAGGCATGCATATTTCCAACTTCCTCCAGAAATGCCTATGCTGAGGCATTTGTGTCTTTACCTTCTCTATCTGTAATGCACAGTTATGCACTGGATCAGTTTCTAAGTGTTCTTCCCAGGGCTGTTATTTATTAATGGAGTCTTGCATAGTGTTTTGTCAAAGAAAAGCTGTATGAAGGTTTGCATATCTGCACCTGAAACATCTATGCAAAAGTAGTTCCCTTAGCAATTTATAAGAAATGGGATTGCTTTCAAAGGAGCATTTTACCTTCCTGTAAAATTCCATTCCCAACAACTTCAGCTGCATCTGATTTCAGCTTATGCTGTAATCATTTTTTTTTTTCTTAAATATTTTCTTTTAGAGAGGCTGGAGTAAACTTATTTAGGAAGACCACAGAGTGTAAATTTGTCTCTGAAATAGGCCCCAGTTTTATTGAAAGGTTGTTGCCTTGTGTAAACTATGATTACACTCAAGTAAGATTTTGAAGTGGTTCTTGTTAATGTGCAGGTGAAAACATTTCAGTGCCCTTCATACATATGACACTGTGCGTACTTACAGTGTTATATAGAATGGTGATTATGTATGCAGTGAACAGGCTCTAAGGTTATCTGTAAACATAGACACTTTTGACATCTAAGATTTTATAATATAGGCAAAATGCAAGCCTAAAACTGGATACTTGCTTTATTTTAGTCTCTTAAAAGTGTACAGCTTTATTGTTAAAGGCATTAATTCAATCATGTATGCACTTTTAAAGTAACTTAGTAGGAAATAATAGCATACATATAGAATGGATGCAAATTCTCCTACTTCTTTGGTTTTTGTTTTTATAATGAAGTACTCCACTGTAGCGTTGCACTGGTATGTTGGGTATTTACTTTCATTTGAAAAATTACTATTAAAAAGCTAGTCTGCCTTTTCCCAATTGCATAACACTCGATTATAATTAGACATTTTTTTTCTTTTTTAATTCTATGTGGTAGTAGATTATTTTATGACAATACTGCTGCATTACAGGTCCTGCATACAGAGTTTGAGGGGGTTTTTATTCCTGTGCTGAAATCTTAATGTAAACATAACTCCCAAGTAAAGAAACGACTTCTGGTAATGCGACAGGTCATTCAAAGAGCTGTGTAACTATGTGCTTTACAATCCACGTTTAGCAGGAAGAAATGTCACTTACTGAGCAGTCTCTTTGGTGTACTTATTAAGTGGGAGGGTTATGTCTTTCACCAGCCTAGCTACAGGGAGCTGATTGCCTTTTAAATTTCTCCTCCTTTCCCATACAGTGAAAATTTGGCACTTGCTTTTCTTGTACTTAATTCACTATTGTGGTTTCTTTTTAGGCAACCTGCCCAAGGATGCAGCACTGCCCCTGAAGCAGCGCTTGAGCTGAAGCAAATCAGTCACTGTCCCAGCCTTTCAAACCTTGCTCAGGTCACAATGGTGCCATTAGGGCACTTAGCCAAAGGGGCCACTTTGGAAGATCTTCTTGAAACCTGCATTCAGTCTTTTGGTGAGTGTCTGGAAGTTTTTAGCATGATATTGTATGAGTATGATTCTGTCCTGGCTACATTTATGTCACTTACTAGTGAAACAGAAAGGCTTAACTGAGGGTTATGTATACTGTAGGTGACAGTGTATGTTTTGTGGGGATGTGGATCTGTTTATGTGGGTAACGTATGCTAAGAGTTTAGAGCAATTACTCTCTTTTTTTTGAGAGAGAGTAAGACATAACCAAATCATCTCTATTTCAGCTGGGTTTTTTGTTGTTGCCCTAAGTACCAAATTAGCAAACTTTAACAAGTAGTCATTATATTTTCATGTGTGTTAACAATGTGATTTGTCTCACGTTTCAAAATGAGAAGAGATATTTTCAAGCTAGGTGAAATAACATTGGATCGCTTCTTGCTTTATCAGTACAGATGTAAAATTGCCTCTCTGCTAAAGAGAAAGAATCCCAATAAAATTCACAACTGTATACCTCTTTGGGCTTACCAGTTATTCATCTTCTACCAGAAGTGCGGTATATTGGCAAGTGTAATTGTTACCTAAACCCTATGTCTCTAGCCTCTTTTTTCAACGATGCTTTCATTAGTAAGCTTGTTTTTTTTTTTTTTATGTTGTTAAAATATGAGAGTACTGAAGGGCTTCAAGGAAGGAATAAAGGCTAGAGTACCCAAAAGTTCTGAACTTTTTGGTTTTAAGTAATGCGCCTGTTACGGCAGTATCCTTCAATGCTATGAGCTGGTTAATCCCAGGGTATAGCTTGTAATGTCTTACTTGCAGAGTTGTTCTTAGACAAAAATTGTACTTGAGCTCCAACTCATCCTTAAAATAATTAATCTTTTGAGTTAAATTTTAATGCGTAGTGCTGATCTAGAGCTAGTAGCATTTAAATGCTGTGTAATGACTGATGACCCAATGACTGATCTTTGATACTCACTGAAAGCATCTGTTTTTTACTTTTAAACCTCGTAGAACGTACAGAGAAATGCATATCTGAGAAGAGATGATAAAACATACAATTGTCAGTGATATTTTGGTTCTTTTCAGCTTCTTTTCTCCTCCATTTAACTATTGCAAAGAAAATATCCACTGAATTATTCTAAAGCCCTGGTTCCTAAACAACTATTCTTATAAGTTTTGGCTCACTGTGTATGAGACGAGATCTAAAGTACATGCCGGACTTTTATATGGTTTTAGTGTTCTGACTAGCTGACCAATATTAATCTGCATCCCTATTTGTATGTAAATAAAGGGTTACAAATATAACATTATAAAAATCTAGTAAATAATTGTAGTGATTGGCTTAAAATACTCCTTGGATGGGAGTTTTATTGGCTTCATTTTATTTTAATAATTTTTTTGATACTTAAATGCACATATCAGGCTGTGTTCTCAGATTCCTTTGAGTCCATGGATTATAAGGACTAAAGTGACAAAGAAAAGCAAGGGCACGTGTCCAGTTCAGCTATGTATGCGTGTGAATCTTTCTAATGGGATTCTTAATTAAATTAGAAAATTTACCATAATCCAATGCTGTTAAGTGATAGTTAAGTCTAGCAAGGTGAGTTGCAGTGCATCTGCAACCATGGATTTAAGCTTATTAAGATTTTCTAGAATTATGATTTATATTGTAGAGAGTTTGATTCTTTCACTGGCCAATTCACAGCAGTGTTTATATGTGTACATCTTCTATGACGTTATGCACGTTCTTAAAATATGTTGGAATTTCCCAGTAGAGTATTTAAATGAATTGTAAAGTACAGCTGGTACAACCAGATAACCTACTTAACAAAGTTGCTTAAAGAAGGTTCTTGTAGCTACCAGCAAAAACATTTTGAAAAATACATATATTTCAGTGTGCAAATTAAGGAAGAGGTGGAAAAAAACTTTAATATGGGAGTTTTCGGAATGGAGGGGAGGAAGTGGGGGGGAACCCAAAGTTGCTGAATGATAACAAGTAAACTGAATGATTAAGCAAGTTTTTTCCTTTGCACGGCACTGAAATAGAACTATTACCCTATACTCTAATAGTTCTGTTCAGATTGAGATTGTCTCTCTTTAAGCATGTTGACTTGTATTCTTTTGTATGTTATTCTACATACAAAATCTGTATGTAGTCTCCTATTCTGTAACCCATTCAGTAACCTGAGCAAGTTTTACTTCAGTATTAAAGATGCGGGACCCCCCCCCCCAGCACAGTGAAGTGCTCCTTGGTATATTCTTTGTTTACTTACTGAAAAAAGCCCTTGATTTATTTGCTGTCTAGGATTAAGTAAAACAGTATGTGCTAGATACAGATGATGATGCATCACATTTCAGAATGTATACTTTGTACTGCCTCATGTTAACACTATACTGCACTTGCTAATATTATTTGTACAGTTATGAATACATATATTTATTGGTACATAAAGTACACAGCTGAATATATTTTTTAGAACTTGCTTATACAAGTTTGGAGAAAACAAATTCTGTGTAAGAAAGGCTATCATTAACAACAATGTGGAAGGGCAAATTGGCAGCCTCCTGCCATATATGAAGAGATTATTGTAAGAGGAAGGTCTTAGAATCAACACAAATTTACAAATGTGAAGAACACAAAGAAGTGTAAGTTATTCATCTTGAAGTACGGATAAGGGAAGGAAAAAAAGGAGAAAGGTGTTAAGCTGAAGTAATGAGTGAGAAGGCTAAGCTTTACCACAATGTTCTGAATGAATTCCAGGATGTGTAGAAAGACAACTTCTGTCAAGGTTGCTGAGGTAATCCAAAACCTGGGATAAGAAGGTGGGGAGGAAAGACTGGAGTTTAGGACTAGTGTGAATGCCTGTGGATCTACAACAGTGCTAGATGATGCTAGAGCATGGACAGAGTAACTTGAATTACAGTGGTGCTGTTGTACCCACTGATTCTAAAAGCAGAGAGATAGGAGGCCATTTTGGGGGGCGGGGGGGAGGGGGAGGGTTCTTCAGGGAAGACCAAAAGCTCGTCCAGTGTAGTTAATTTAGACACCTACTTTAGGAGGATTGGAGTGTGCTTTTCCATCTCTCAGATTTGGCCATCTTGAGCTTGAACTGATGAACGATAGGCATCTGCGTTAGAAAGCCAGAATAAAAACAGAGTACGTCATGTGAGATAGTGTAAGGTAATGTGAGGCATATCTGAGAGATGAATGTTACACCAGTGCTTATTCAATTGTACGCTTTGTTAACAAAGATAGGAGATGCCAAAAGTAGAGGTTTCTTGAAGTCCCATAAAGGATTGGGTCGGGATGAGTAAGATGAATCATCCTACAAATGAAATGCTAAAAGCAAAGGCAATAGAAAAATCAAGACGTGAGCTAGGACAAGTTTTCAGGAAAAAGAGTATGACCCATGCTTGAAGTGAAGGGAAGTGTCTTAGAAGGGATTATTGATCCTGCAGTTAGTCCAGCAAAAGATACGTAGAGACTTGAACCAGCTTTCACCAGGGTAAAGAGAAGAGATAAGATAACATAGGACAGTGATTCACAATGCGTTCTGTGTGGCTTGTCCGACCCCATTACAAGTAGCTACAGGATGCTGCTACTGCTGTGGTCTGGATTGACAAGGAGAGCTGCAGAGAGCAAATATAGACATCACATTTGATTGCCTTAGAAAAGAAAGGTAAGTATGACATATCAGTGGAGCTGACAATGGCTTTTTAAAGATGAAAAAGTGATTTTATGGAAAGAAGGAGGAGTCATAATAGGGCAGTGGAGAAAAAGAGAAATCAAACAGGGAAGGAGACCACATGGGTAGGAAGAGCATGGCTTAGGGTTCTGAGATGACTGGAAAGACTAGAGAGTGCAAAGAGTATAGAAGGATTCAATTCAGTGGAACCTCTCCGCTAGAGAGATTGAATTTTGAACACAAAGGTCATGAAGAATTAAAGGTGGGTGTTCAATTGGCAACAACATGGCTGGAGCTGTGAATTCAAGGAAGCAAAGAATTAATACGACATCTAGGAGGGAGAGAATGTATTCTGCGGGAAATCCTCATTAGTGACTGTGCTTCTGGAGTAGAGTTACATGTAGAGCAGTGACTTTAGAATAAACCCCCTGCATCCATGCACAATATAAAATTAGTACAAAATAATGTACTTCAATACTGTTCTGTGAAAGTGGATACAGCTTAGTCTCCTACATCGTTGCTAGTTGTAAAGATACTTGCTCATCAGCTTTGTTGTTGAAACCAAAGGCAGAATAAGGTCTAGCTTGCTATTCCTCAGCCATATTGACGATGTGATGCTGACCGTTCAAGAAGACACAGGAAGCATACGCTCAGTATGACAGCTCAGCTTTTTGCTAGTTCTTAAAATAATCTCTTTGTGAGACTGAATAAATGCATATTAACATACATTTAGTCCAGAAAGTATTATAGATCAGATGGGAGAAATATTTCTCCCGTATTCACTTCACTGTATAATTCTATCTTAATTTGTTTACTGTATATGTTCTAAATATGGAAATGAAATAAGAAGTTCAAAACACTCTTTACCCAAAGCTATTCTCAAGCTACTAGGAGCTTAGTGTTTTGACTATTCATTAGACGATCCGTTTCTATTCTAGCAGATGTTTTTTCTATTTGTATATTCACTGTGTGTTTGTGCAGCTATACATGCATAAAGACATTAGATGGTAAGAGGTCCCTGTTTCTTTCCTTTGACTGTAAGCTTCTATCTTGCCACATAAGAATGCCTTTAAGTTTATCTTGATTAAGATTTACATGCCTATTTGTTTAAAAGACTGTAATGAATACACTTCAAAATCTCTACTCAACTACTTTAATATGCATTAAAGCTTAAAGACCATGTAGGGTTAGAGGGTCTTGCACCCTGTCCCTCCAAAGTGTTTGTTTAAATTGTTTTCACGAGTGCTTGAAAGATTCTGTTATAATCAGGACAAAACATGTCTTTTTTCAGCATAGATGACATTTTGATGTCTCCTTACTTTATCTACAATAAAGTTGTAAAACACTACTTAGAATTACC